TCCTTCCTTACAGGTTGCCGAGAACAAAAGCTGGTCTTACTGCAGAAGAGGGAAGAAGACATAGAAGAAAAGGAGGGGCATCTTCTGGGGCAAGGCAGCACCTTCTGGCAATAGAGCTGGCTACCTTGCTAGGTGGTGGATTCTCCACAATGGGAAGTGTTCAAAACAGACATTTGTCTCTCTCAAACTTGGGATTGCACTGTCCTCATCCCATCACCCCGATTTTATCCGAAATATTCACACTGACATTCTAGGTAATCCCAGGATGCTCCAAACCCCTTGTACCACCTGGTGAGCTTTGCGCCTCAGCTGAACTCTAATGTGGGAGAACCAAGTTTGATGAACACTTAGAAACTGAGGATTCTAAGTCACTTCACTCTCGAAGGCGAGGTCTCATCACTTTCAGAGATACCAATGCCTTCTCACTGGGTTTAGATGAAAGATCCTGGCATAGTAGTTAAGATGAGATTAACTGAATTGAAATCGCCACTCTCTTGACTCCAGACCCTCATGGTCAAACCACTTCATGTAATACACATTTGTTAAATGCCCACTGAGCATTAGTCATTTTGTTAGCCAAAAAAATCTGGGCTATCCAATGTGATGGCCACTAACCACTCTCAGGCAGACTGGTTTAGCAAATAAATCAGAAGAGAATAGGACATGATCTATGTCCAAGGTAAAAAATGTGGGGAGACAAATATCCGGTAAGTAAATGATGTTTAGAAGTCCTATGATAGAAGTGTGTTCAGCATGGGTGCAGCTGAGACCAAATCTGTGGGGCTGTGGTCAGAGTGGGGGTGGCTCTGAGGACCTGCGTGGGTACAATGCCCCAGCGTGCATACAAAGGTCACGTGGGAAGCCCCAGGTCCCTCTGATGGATCACCTCCTCTGACAAGATAGGACTTGAACATTTTACAGTTGTGCTCTAATCTTCTCGGCTATTCTGTAAGACAGACATCCAGGGTCAGAGAGATGACAAAGTCTGACCCTCGTCACAAGTAACAGGCCTGAATTTTACCCCCAAATTATGATAGTCTTTGCTCTTTACCTATATTCAGTGCTGCCCCATTTCAGCAGAGTCTCAGCCGTCTTCCCTAGAGCCTGTCCCAATCTTCTCTTCAAGTGCCCTGATGTTCGCCAGTCAACAGTGACAAGTAATAGCCCTTATAGAAACCAGGCAACCTGCACATATACCATAATCAATCTTTCCTCCAAGCATTTCAACTGGTGGTGCTTTGCTATATTCAATTTCAATCCTATCATTTCTGCTAAATGCTGCCCTTGAACCTCTGCACACAGCCTCCAAACACATTCAACCTTGAGTATTAACAGACAAACAGCAATGAAGCCAGACGGGCATGTTTGTTAAAATACGACACTGGAAAATAGCTTAGAGCAACCTTAAAACAGCAACCAGTGGAATAACTGCACCGATTAAACAGGATGGTCAGGGGATGTGTGGTAAACAGCAATTCATTAGAGAAAGTAAAGCCCTGGTGACAGTTTTTAAATCCTCACCAAAACACTTTTGACTAAAGGCAATATTTTTATAGTTTTTATTCCCTGTATAAATGTGTGCTTCTTAAGTAGCCCTTTCAGAAACCAGGCCCAGCCCAGCCCAGCAGATGAGCTGGCGACGTCATCCTGCTGCACAGAGAAGGGATTGTTCAGCCTCCAAGAAGACCAGGTGAGGTCTGCCTTCCTAAGGACAAGGTGGGGCAAGGACCACCCATCCCCATTATCGTTACTGTGTGTGTGGCACTTGATGCAATTCTTTGCAGATCACTCCAATTCTTTTCCTGCTCTTCCTGTTGAAGTTTGGGGAGTGGGCAAACTCAAGAAAAGGGCTGTGTCTGGTGAAAAGGCCAAGTGTCTGATGTTAGCTGGCACTTGGGACTAGGACAAAAATCCTTGCCTCAAGAATGTTCTCAGATCCAACTCCGCCCTGTGACCCTCCTCGCTCCTCCTTCGAGCCAATCCTGCAGCCATTTAGTTTCCACTGGTTTTTCCCTGAAGGAGGATGACCTGGACTTGGAACCTCTGCAGGAGGAAGAGAAGTTAAAGGAAAGTTCTCATCCCTGTCTGGCCTCAGGGCCAAGCCCTTACAAAACAATCAGAACTTCCCCAGTGCTAAGAGTGATGGTTTTTTAGCAGGGCTCCAAGTGTTAGTACGTCATGTAAGTCATGGTCTCTTACCCTTCCGTGAGTTGAGTTGCTCTTTTCTTGGTCCAGTGCCTTATTGCTGGACCCTAAGAGCAGATGTGGGAAGAAAGGGAAGAAAAAGCAAAAGCAAAGTGGTCCTGCCACACATTAGTAAATATTTATTGAGCAAATACTATGTGCCCAGTGCTGCGATACATGCAGAACTAAGCTGACCTGAAACAGCCTTGCCTCCAAAACTTACAGCCTAGCCAGACAGAATGACATCCAGCAAGGAAATGACTAAGTAAACAAACTTTTAAACAAGTAACAAATCATTAAGGGCTACACAGGCAGCAGGGTACTTTGATGAAGAGAACAGAATAGGATCTCTCTAGATTACACAGACAGATGAAGTATGTCTGAGAAGATCTCAAGATGACACAGGTTTTCTAAAACCCACGGAGCTGTACAACATGAAGAGTGAACGCTAATGCAAACTATGGAGTTTGGTTACTAATAACATATCAATATTTATTCATCAATTGTAAGAAATACACCACACAAATGCAAGATATTAATAATAGGAGAAATTGGGGGGTCATAGAGGGGGGTCCGAAGGAGTCCTCTCTACTTTCTGATCAATTTTTCTATAAGCCTAAACTGCTCTAAAAAATAAAGTCTATTAATTTTAAAAGAAGAAAGCATGGGCTTTCAGATCTGGCTAAAAGAAAACAAATCAATAAAGTGTCAGAGGCTTTCCTGGAAAAGAAAAAGAGCTCAAAAACATACAGATTCATTTTGAAGAAACAAAGACCCCCCGTTCTTCTAAGTTCAAGTTGAACACAGCACCTACTGAAGATCCAAAGGAAATCACTAGCTTCCTACCCGTACTCTGTAACTTGAAATCTGAGTAAAGGATTTAAGAAGCTTGCTGGCAAAAAGCACTTTTGATCAGTCACAGGATCAACCGTAAAACATTGATCCCTTTCTCTGTTCAAATCAAAGCACATTTTTCACAGCACAGGTCAAAAAAGAGGTCTTCTGGGGTCAATCAAAATGAGGTTTTAATTTCCACTCCTACCCTTGGGATCTGAGTGACACTGGACAGTCCTCTGGACTTTTCTGAGGTTCAGTCAGTTTCAATCATCTGTAACAGGGGTACCCAGCCTCCGGGCCACAGATCAATACTATTCCAGGCCTGTTAGGAGCCAGGCTGCACAGCAGGAGGTGAGCTTGAATGTAGTGCACTTGAATCATCCTGAAACTAGCCTCCCACCTCTAGTCTGTGGAAAAATTGTCTTCCACAAAATGGTCCGTGGTACCAAAAAGGCTGGGGACTGTTAGTGCATAAAATTGAGAGATTACTTAGTCCACAGTCTTGCTGTGAAGACTAAAAAGGTCTGGCATCTGGAAACTGTACATACTAGTGTAATGAATGGTAAGGATATTAGAGTCGTTACCATTATTATTATTATTATTAAGCACTGGACACTGTGCTAGGTGCTCTACCCATTATTTCAGTTCATCTTTCCCACAGCCCTGTAACGTAAGCATTCCTAGCCCCTTCACAAAGAGAAGACTCAGAGAGGTTCACTGACTTGCCCAAGGACACACAGCTGGTAAACAGGTGAAAGGAGAACATGAGCCCAGCTCCTCTTGCTCCCACCACGCTTTCTAAGGCAGGTGGGTCAGACTGTGGCTTTCCTTACTGAGATTCAGAGGAAACCAGTCTCCCCGTGATTCTTCCCTTATTGTCTCAAAAAAAAAAAAAAAAAAAAAAAAGAGAGAGAAACAAAATTACTTTCCCTTCAGACCTTCCAAAATCTGCAAGCCCTGCGCTTTGTCCGCACCTGCTCGACCAGTAACGGGGATGGAGTCAGTCCCCAGAGACCCTTTTCCTGAGGTCTAACTCACCCACTCTTGCTCTCCCCTGCATGGAAATCCCTTGCTTTTGACACAACAAAAGTCTATCTGGCTCTCAATTTTATACTTAAAGCCTTCATTAATATAAGTATAAATACAAAGAGCCTTTCATTATATTTCTCTATTTCACTTAAAGGTATTATTTAAGTGTTTAGGGTAGTTTCACAGAAAAAGTTATTGGGTGGTGGGGATCCCCCATAATACACCTATAGTTGGTATTTTACATTGATTCTTGTGGAAATAACTCACTGCCTTAATTTTTTTAACTCTAAGAGTGCAGTAAAGCCCTGATAAAGGGATGCCTTACACGTGAGCGCGTGCGTCCACTTCAGCTCCTTCCGTTGTTACTTCCTGCAAGCAACCCGCCGCCAAGCTGCACTTGGGCCGTGGAGAGGCATGAGTGGGTACTGACACACAGGCTGTTGAAGCACCACACGCACACAGTAACTTTCCTGTTTTAGGGTGTGTGTGTGTGTTTCTAGGCTATTTTTCTTGTCCTGGAAACTGAATTGGACACATTCCTAAAACACTGAATAAACTCCAGAGTTCCAAATAAAAGACTTAAAAAAGTCGTGATCTTCACAGAGATTCTACACTTCCTAGACTCTCGATTTTTTTTTAAAGGAAAACAGGCCAAGCCCTTTGTCCCTTGGTGAACTCTGATACACTGTGAAAAGGCAAGTCCACCAGGAGAGGTGCACACACATTAAAATAGCAAAGTCTGACATGAGGAGTGAGAACAAGGGGCCGCCTTATGCGGCGGCCAGCCGAGCCTTCATGGGTTTCGTCAGCAGGCCGGGAGCCAGCCTTCCCAGCTCACTGCTATAAAGCCGGTCCTGGCCTCCCAGAGCAAGATGAGGCTGTGCAGGCTGCTTGTCCCGTAGCTGCTTCACGGGGACTGGCAAAGTGGCCCCTGGACTTGCCCTGGAGCCATGGCAAAGGGTGGACTTGTAATTTATGTCCTGGTTATCACCCTACTCCTGGACCAGACCACCAGCCACACATCCAAGTTCAAAGCCAGGAAGCACAGCAAGCGTCGAGTGAAAGGTAACGGGGCTTCTCAGTCTGGCAAAATACGAGGCTTTTCAGGGAAGGCAGGGGCTGGGCCTTGTTCATCTCCAAACCCCTCCAGGACACTGTCCCTGGTGACAGGGCCATCATATGGGTATGGCATTTCATGGGACTGAGTGGCCTTCTAATTCTCTGGAGAGTTTGATATTTAAGAGTCATGTAACAGGTTTGGTTTTTACAGGGGGAGAAAGCTCTTGTGATATAAAAATAATTCTGTATTATATATCCTCTGTCAGCTGGGGTTAGGCCTGTAGAATGTTCTTCAGAGGGAGTCACCTGGATACGGTATTAGGAATGAGGGGTCAAGCATAACATATTGATTCTAGAGTACAGTTTCACTCGTAGAGATTGTGTAACTCTACTCAAAGGCAATTGTGACATCATTATGATCTTATTCAATGTGGAATAGAGGGTAGAGCCGTTGGTAATAATAAGTTCTGTTTTGTCACTGGTTATCACGTAGATATCTTTTTATACCACTTGCAATATAAGGACAGTTTATGTTATATATGTTTAAGCTTTTCAATGTCATAGAGAATCTAAACCTGTCTTTAATTTAAACATATTTTAACTTGTGAAGTCATACAGTGTTTGAAGATATTTTAATGTAAACTAAATCCACAAGCAATCTCAAACTGTGGGTGACTTACCTAGGTTAAGTGGTAAAAAGTAAATGTTGCAAAGAATAAAGATGATCTCAATTTATTTGCAACATGCTGAAACCGAAGCAAAAGGAAAAACATGGGTGATGTTTTCTCTCATGCTCTGAGTCACTTTCATATAGGATATTGTAAGGGAAATATTATGACACTATTTTCTCATCCACTGCACTTCACTAATAACAACACACATACACACACGCACCAGCACCAACAAGGCCAGCTTGGATTTGACACCTGACAGATGTCTGGTGGGTAGAGAGGGGGCCTGTCTTATGCTGTGTTTTAATGATTATAAAAAGTGCGCTTTTCTAGGGGAATTTATATAATTTAAGTCTGATGCGAAGTTTAAGTGGGATCTTTCTTCCTTATAAAATATACTGCTGTTACCTCTTTTAAGGAAAGGCTGAAATATCTCCAATGGGTAAGGGAGGCGTGTTGGTGAAGATGGGAAGAGACACAGGACTGGGCGACGTGGCATATTTTTGTCGCCAGCATTTCTTCACCAACGGGAGGGAGCAGCACAGCGGTGACGACCCAATAGGGATGTCGGGGGAGGGGTGTGAATGTGGAAATGCGTGACTGTGTGTGCTGTGTGGCTGGTTCTGAAGTGTGTGCAGTTCGGCTCACGGAGAGCTCCCCTCACCCCACACACATGTGCACACACACGAAAACGCACTTTTTAAAAACTGATTTGGTACATATCTTAAATATTATCCTCTCAAAGCAGTCTTCGCCAGCCTTTGCTGTTAGTTCCCAAAAGCAGATTCTACAGTAGGTGAAGGAGGAAGCCTAGATTTGTAGAACACTTCTCTCCCCACGCTCTCAAATGCGAAGTATTTTAAGTACCTGCAAATAATACTTTATGAAACCAAAAGGGAAAGACATTTTCTCTCAGTCTTCACAGAATTGCCTACTGTTATCTGTCAGGAGGTAATATTCCCAGTTTTTTTAATGCAGAATTGAAATCATATTTTTAACAAAATAAGAATTGGCCATACCAAGTGCCTGGTAGACAAGCAGACAAGCTAGGGACCTTCATCCACCAAACCCTGGGTAGATATCAACACAAGGCACACCTCAGTCACTCCGACTACTGCACAGTACTCCCCTGTGTGTCTGGGTCAGGACTTACGTCACCTGCCTCTTGGGGAACTTCTGTGTGCTTTCCAGTCTATCTCTTCTTGAGTCAGCGCCTCGGTGAGCTGCTTTATACACATATAAAGATGTGTATAAACACACCCCAGACTTACAGTGGGGTTATACACCGATAAACCCATCATAAATTGAAAACATCATAGGCTGAAAATGCACTGAACACACTTCACCTGCCAACTATTATATAGCTTAGCCTAAACTACCACACATGTGCTCATAACACGATATTCAGAATGACACTGACAACACAGTACACCATACAGAGTACCAGCTGTTTGCCCCGTGGCCGACTGGAAGCTGTGGCTCTCTGCCTCTGCCCAGCATCACCAGAGAATGATACCACGTAACACTCGCCCACGAAAGGATCCGACTTCAAAATTCGAATATAGTTTTCACACCCTCGTAAGGTCAAAAACTCATAAACTGAATCATCCTGCCAGCGACCGTCTGTACGTGTACTGGTCCCCTGGTAGGATGTTCTGATATGTTTCCAGCTGCAAAGTTGCGGGTCGATCACACTCCCTACCTGTCTCCTAAAACAACAGCTTCAATCTATGATGCTGCCGTCATGCCTGAGACTGTCCATCCCACAGACCCGACAGCCCAACAGCACACCCTCAGCTTCAGCCCTGCCAACCTAACAAAAAGTGCAAAACCTTTTTAAAGTTTGCATTTATCTGAATGTCGCTGAGGCTCTTTTCCATATGTTTACTGGCCGTTTCTTCTGAGAATGATTTCTTCCTCATGTCTACACTGCACCTATGGTGGAGCACACTGATAATACAGAAAACGAGCCTTTTTGAAAATGCAAAATGGCAACTGAGTGATTTGCCTCCAAAGGAAAGATATTTTTGGTACTTACTGGTCTCCAAACCCGTGTGCCAGGGTAATGAATAAAACACAACTTTCACCGTGAACCAGCAGCTGCCGCAGTCACTGTGGACAAAGACAGTCCCCCGCGTTACACAAGACACAAGCAGAAGCCGAGCCACCGGATAACAATTTCCGTACTGACTTCCCAGGGGCCCTATATTAGTTCTTGGATCTTCCTGTTAATTACGATGTTTACAGCTTCTTTGTGGCTGCCCCTTATGTGAATGGAACGGAGCCCTGACCGGTGTGACGCAGTTGGTTGGATGTAGTCCAGCAAAGTGAAAGGTCGCCGGTTCAATTCCTGGTCAGGGCACATATGTTGTGAGTTCGGTCCCCAGGTGGCAACCAGTGGACGTTTCTCTCCCTCTCTTTCTCTAATAAATCAATATTTTTATAAATAAATAAAATGGAGCAGGAAGCTGAGAGGAATGGGGGAATGACATTTATAAGGTTGACAACTTACAATGGGAAGCAAGTCTTCAGGTCTCTGCAAGCCTGGCCTCCAACAGCCAATGGTTTTACATTCTTAATACACTCTCATATTTATTCTGGACTGAATGGTCCAGCCCTTTGAGGAAATGTTTGAGCTATTGTATTTCTAGGCTGAGATATTGGATGCTTTAAGAACTGATGGGCAGTAGCAAGTGACACAGAGCTGGGAGCACTCTGTGCACCCAGAAAGCATCTTCCTAACCCAAATATGGAAATACCTGGCTTGCAAAGCACTCTTTAAGGGGATGGTGAGTCAGCATGTTTGGATTCGGGACTGCCCTGAAAAGCCCAGCACAGAGAATAGATTCTCTATGTGGAATCCCCACCAACAGGCATCGGGGGACAGCTCATGTCTAGCTTTAAGCCCCTTCTCTGTCCGAGACCATGTGTCAGGGACTGAGCAGGGAAAGGCGATCGTGGTGCTGAAGCAGATGGGAGGGATGGGGGGAGAACAGAAATGGAGTCGGTGAGTCAGAGCCCGGCTGCACCTTGCCGGCCGGGTGACCTGTTGCAGGTTAGTTCAGCTCTCTCTGCCTCTGTTTCTTCTCCTGTGAGATGGGGACAGTGATGGTGTATATCTCACGGGAATAGTGGAAGAATTAAGCTCTTGGTGCATAAGGTATTACAACATTTTAATACTTTTAATTTTTATTATGATTTATTACAATTCCTACCTTTGGTCCTGGCTGGTGTGGCTCAGTGGATTGAGTGCCCACCTGTGAATCAAAAGGTCTCTGGTTCAATTCCCAGTCAGGGCACATGCCTGGGTTGCTGGCCAGGTCCCCAGTAGGGGGCATGTGAGGGGCAACAGATGGATGTATCTCTCCAACAGAACACCAAAATTTCTCTCCCTTTCTCCTGCCCTTCCCCTCTCTCTAAAAATAAATAAATATGATCTCTAAAATAAAGAAACAATTCCTGCCTTTAAAGAGTTCACAGCTCTCACTCTCTGAGGCAGTCTTCACCAGTTCTGGAATTTTGTTGATCCACTGAACAAATATCATGAGTGCCTATTATGTGCCAAGTATTGTGTTAAACATCAGGAATACCCTGGATAACCAGACAGATAGAATTAAGTAAAATAATTAAAGATTGGAGAAAGTGCTTTGAAGAAAAATAAAGTTCAAAGAAAGAGAGAAGCCAGAGGGGTGCTAATGTCGGGAGGATAATCGGAAAAACTTTCTCCGAAGAAGAGATGTTTAAACTCAATCAAGAGATGAGGAGGAGTGTTCCGGGCAGGAGGCACCCAGCGGAAAGGGTCCTGAGGTGAGACGGCTTGCTGCGGCTGCATTGGAGAGTCAGGGAGTCTGAGGCCTGAGGGGGGACAGTCCCACGGAAGGGACTGGAGAGAAAGACGGGAGCCCAATCTCACAGCAGGAGCTACCGGTATGATCGCCCCCACCAGACCGTTAAGCACCTTCTTGGCCGACTTACTTTCATGCTTTACTTTTCATGGGCACTAGGCTCCATTTCATTAAAGCCACTGTTGCCTTAGGCTCTGGATTCCAAAGCTTTGTTTTATTTTGATCTTATTTTAATCATATGCTTTTTATTTCTCCTATACCACCCCACCCTACAATATCTCTAGAAAAGGATGGAGACCTAAAGACTCAAGTTGAAAAGCTCTGGAGAGAAGTGAATGCGCTGAAGGAGATGCAGGCCCTGCAGACAGGTGAGGCCCGTCTCGTCAACGCCTCCTCTCCCGGGAGATGAGGGAACGTGGTGCACATCAAGCTCTAGGTGACCTCTCTTTAAAAGAGACATTGGCAAGCCAGATATGTCCAGGAGAAAAGATCCAAAAGCTGGGGAGATGATTGTCTCAGGAAATCAGCTTGATTTTCCACTCCCTTCTTCTATATATGGGAGGTATAGAAATAAAAACAGGCATTTCGATAATACATTTATTTAAAAGCCTGTTCATAATTTTCTTATAGGTAATGAAACAGAATTAAAGCAAGTATTAACTACCTTAAATAATTAGCATTCATTAGATGTTCACTTCGTGCTCTTTGAGAGACCTGCTGAGATTCAACTAAATGCAGGGTCACAGGACCCAGGCCACACACATTAAATGCCCATGGAGGGAACTGGGTCAGAACCACGGTCTGCCCAGCAGAGAGCGGCACCTGGCGCTCCTTCCTGTCTGGAGCACAGCCCCCCAGCAGCCCATGCAGCCGTATACATTACTGACCAGGAGCTAGGAACAGCTCTGGCTTGCAAGGCTCAGACTCCCAGGAACCAACACTCTCATAGCGACTTCAAAAGCAGGTCTGTTGGGTCCCACAACAGACCTGCCCAATTATAGGAGCTATAGCCTTCAGGGAAGACTAAAGTTGTGGCTTTCAATCAAGTACTTATAATTCCCAGACCATCCATGTTGCCAATGCAAGGTCATTTTTTTTCACCAAAAGCAACGTTGCCTAGTAACACTGGTGATATATTCCCTTTATCAGGTCTCTAGGGAAACAGAATTAAAAAGTTAAAAGCAGGTCAAATGTGCATGCAGAGGCGGAGTTTTGTTAATGCTTTAGTCAAGCACTTCATAAACATTAACAAATCAATCCTCAAACAATTTATGGGATATCTCCAATTATGATTGGCCTCATTGAACAAATGAGGAAACTGAGGCACAGAGAAATTAAATAATTTGTCCAAGGTTTACAAAGCTAGTAAATGTCAGAGCCTGATTCTCCAGTGCTTTGCCTTAAACTATCTTCATGTTTGGTTTTAGCCTGGATAACCTGAACAGTATTGCCAGGGCCGAGGGATCTGCATAAGGAAAACACCGTCTCTCCATATGCAAACTCGGACTTTTGTTCTTGTTTTTAATAACCATGGAATACCATCCCACTTCTAAAAGCCCCAAGGAAACCAGGCACATGATAGAGCTACACTAACTAACACACATACGTACATCAGGCAGCATGAGGCTGGAGGCCACGTTTGAAGGGTGGGGCAGACCTAGGTGTGTACAGTGGTGACCTCATGTGCTGTGTAAGTTATATTCTTATACGCTAAGTTGGTGCAAGTAACGATGTCTCTATGCCTCAATATCCTGATATGTAAAGATGGGGGGTAATAAAAATCCCACTTCGTGGGATTGCTGTGATTATTACTTGAGTTCATATAGGTAAAGTGCTTGGTGCAATGTCCAAAATGTGCAAAATCTCTAATAAGTAAATGTTAACTCAGTATTACCATCATGTATTCATTCCACAAATATGTAATGTTACCTGCCAGGTCCAGTCCTGGATGTATTACACTCTGACATATGTTAATATGTCAAATATCACATCTTTACAGTCTGCCTCCGGGGCACGAAAGTTCACAAGAAGTGCCTCCTTGCTTCAGAAGGCTCGAAACACTTCCATGAGGCCAATGAAGACTGCATTTCCAAGGGAGGGACTCTGGTTATTCCCAGAAACTCGGATGAAATCAATGCCCTTCGAGACTATGGTAAAAGGAGCCTGCCGGGCATCAATGACTTTTGGCTGGGCATCAATGACTTGGTTACGGAAGGCAAGTTTGTTGATGTCAATGGAATTGCCATCTCCTTCCTCAACTGGGACCGAGCACAGCCTAATGGTGGCAAGCGGGAAAACTGTGCCCTGTTCTCCCAGTCGGCTCAGGGCAAATGGAGTGATGAGGTCTGTCGTAGCAGCAAGAGGTACATATGTGAGTTTACCATCCCTTAATAGGTCCTTCTCAAATGCATCTTCCAGGCTAACAAGGTCATGATGTACAGGTTAATGGTTCCCAAGAATAAGCCCAATTGTCCATAGGAATACAAGAGTCAGCCAATTCTGCTACCATATTTCATGGTGACTTTTCCCTCCATAGGGCATGGGGGATCAGAAAACAATGATCCAGCTATGTCCACACACTGTTGAAGTGGCTTCTGCGAGATGGGCTGTGAAATCTTTCCTTCCTAGTCCCTCGCACTGACACAGAGCAGGTCTGTATTGAAAATACAATAGCCAGAAAAGCAAGCTTTTCTCAAAAGTTGGCCATATATTTTATTAATGAAAAGTCTCTAACCAGAGATTCTAGGTATTATAGAATCCAAAAACATTTTAGTCTGATGCTCAATCTGTTCCACTCTGGCCCAAGAACCTTGTTCACCCATTATTCTTTCTCTGAGTTGCTGCATCTCCTGGTAGATATTGCATTGTGTTTGCCATGTCTGAACATGAATGTCTCAGATTCCCACTGACTCTTTTTCTTCAAGACCCCTTCCCCACGCACATTCCTTTTTGGGGAGGGTGGGTGAAGTTCCCAAATAAGATCTGAAAGGAAATGATAAGGCAGCCTATTTGTCAATTTCCCCCTCTCATCACTGCATTGCAATGTCCAGTTTGAATCAGTAACCCCAAGACAGAACAGGAGCAGTAGATTGTGAGAGAAAATAGAAAAAGAAAAATGTCCACTCTCTCCTTGCTTTAGCATCCTTCTATCCTTTATGAAATTGAGGGTGGACATAATATATGTTAGTTTCTTTTTTTACATACTTTGTATTTCAGTAATCATATATTTAAGTCTATTAGGAGCAGTCTATCTTTGGAGGTTTAAAACTGGATTTAAATAAAACTATTTTGAAGTCACATATCTGTGCAATTTTTAAAATTCTGCCAAATATTATTTCCACTACATTGTTTAACTAAGTTGTATAAAATAATTTCTGTGCTTACTATGAAATTACAAATTTAGGCTTGAGAAAAATGGGCTTTTTTAATTATAAATAATTTTAAGTAAAGTTTGTTTTTCAAATGTCATTTTTTCATTACATATTGACTGTGTTTGGTGAACGATATGCTTCTCTGCAATCTTTAACTACAGGTGCTTGGAATAAAGTCCTGGTTCTTTCCACTGTATAGCAATAAAGCCCGAATTCTGATCGATGTGGACACATTTGGATGTTGATTATAATTATTCAAACTATGTTGGTTTATATCAAATTTGGCACAATTTGTGGGGAGGGATACCCCGGATTTGAGGAAACTCATGACTTACACACTAGGAGGACAATTTTACCTGATAATAAAGAGAAGTCTTTGCGGAGAATGGGAAATTTACGAAGAAAACTGTACTGTAATTGGTTTTTGTTGGCCAAACTCTCTACTCCAATATAACCATAATCTCCCTAAGGACTGTGATAATAATGAAATTAGCAGACATTAACAGTAGCATATTCTTATGATATTCCAGGTATTGTGCTAAATTTTACATAGTTATTAATCTCCAGAACAACTCTGGGGACTGGGCTCCAGAATGCCTTCATCTCCCAGAAGAATAAACTGTAGAGGAGAGATGCAGTGACTCGCCCTAAGTCACATGCCAGGGAGCAGTGCAGTTGTGACCAGAACCCAGCACGCTGCTCAGATCCTACACCCTTTGCAGCCACAGGGGAGTTATGACAAGGTGAAACTTGTTCAGCTAGGCCTTGGAGGTAGGCACTGACCTGTTCTCCCAGTTCCTTCACCTGGGGTAACAATGTGGGCAAAGAGCTGATCTTGAGAAGGCAGTTAGTCTGAGGCTGCTTGGAAAGGGCTGAATAAGGACAACCGCAGCTGACAGAAGTCAGCATCACAGGTGGGGTTTCGAGGAGATGGGGTTAAATAATATCATCCTCTCCTCTTCTTTAAAGATAAGAAGCTTAATCCAAAGAAATAGAGGAAATTTAGTGAGGGGGATCAAGATGAGCTAGCAAGACAAAGAACGGATGGATGGAAGACACAGCAGGGCTGGAAGAGGTGGATTAAGGGATAAATTGGCTGGCTCAAGGTCAAACTCATGACCTTGACTTTATTATTTAGCCAATGAGCCAAAGGCCACACCCACAAGATTCACTAACCTAGACTTCTCTTTGGTCTATTCTGCCTGTTGGGCACTACTTAGCCGAAAATCGGTCTTTTGGCAAGATTGGTAAAAAGGCCTCTATTCTTGGGCCAACTTTCCTGTGTCTGTGACAGCTGCCTGGACTGTACAGTGGAGAAACATCCTGAAGCTTGGTGGAAAGAGTGCCAGGAGCAATTAGCAATGTCTCTCACAAATTCATCATTGGAGGATGTCAATATTTGTACCACATAATTGTCATCCCTACTGCAAACACTTGGCTCTCTGCAGATCCCAGTTATAGTCAAAGCTCAACAAGCCTTTCCAGGAAGCTGATTCTGATATCTAGGGTAGTGTTTCTCAAGCTTTCTGTGCTTACGAATCACCTGGGAACCTTGCTGAATTGCAGATCCCGTAGGTCTGGGCTGAGATCCCAGATGCTGCATTTGTAAAAGCTCCCAGGGGAGGCCAACTATAGTAGACCACACATTACAATTTGATAGCAAGGGCCTATCGCTGAAGTTACTTGCCCAGAGATAGTCTCTGATGGATTTAAGCAAAAAGGTCAAGGGTAGAATGTAGAATTTGAGTGAAGAATGATACTTAGCATTTTTTCCACAGATGCTTCCATCAAATGAGGTACAAAGAAAAAATCAATCAGAAGAAAACATCAATAATAGAGACAATTTTAGGAGTATTTATTATAAGGCTCAGTGGTTCCTGCCTCTGTAGTTTTCAAAGATAAGCAATGGTGAGAAATGATGGGGCAGGGAGGGAAGAAGGGAATGAGGACGGGACGAAGGGGAAGGGAGGGGGAGAAAGTGGGAGAATATGTGTGTTTTCACATACTACCGAGTTTGTCGTTCTTAACCCCTTGGTTTCTATTTCTGTGAGCTACTTTACCATCCCTTCAAGCTGCATAAGATAAGTTATCTTTTTCATTTGAGCTAGTTTAAGTCTGCATATCAGCCAGGACAGGCTTGGTTAAGACCTTATGGAGCTTCCATCCAGATAGCCATAATACATAATAAAGACAAAGAAATAACCAAGATCATTTCTGAAAATGATATGACAAAATATTAAAAGGTTGACATGAAAACTATGACATAAATGACAATGAAATTGACAAAAGACAAAAATGAAATAGGAAAATGAAAGATGGTGTGATTAGGAGGAACAATGTTAGACAGGATGGTTAACCCCTCAAATATAACCCTCTTTCCATTGAAAAAGAGAGTGGAGAAGAGACTGATCTTATAAATCATCACAGCAGGAGTCCAGGAAAGAGAGACCCTGAGAAATAAGACTTACCCAAAATCACCCAGAAAGCAGGGACAGAGCAGGGATTAGAATTCAGTTTCCTGTTTTCTAATTCAGAGCCTGGAACATACCAGCTCAGTTCAAGGTCAAGTAAGGTGAAGAGACTTGGAGTCAGGAGATCCAGACTCCACACTTACTATGGTGTGACTTCAGGTAAGGATAAACTTTTGGGCTCCTGCTCCCTCATCTATCAGTGAGAATAACTGACCAAAGAACTGTGAGTTGAGACTGGAACATATAAGCAAGCAAACACTCTAGATACAACATCTTAAAAAAATAGTTTTTTTCCATTATAAGACCAAAACATCTCATTACAGAAAAATTTGGAAAGTAGAAAAAACATTTTAGAAGTAATCCTTTATCTTGGTCTTTTCCACTCATTTGTCCAATGAATATTTGTTGAGCACATGTATCCAGCAGTGAGTGTCCAGTTCTGCCACCACCCGTGCAAAGTGGTAGAGGTTACATCATCGGGCAATGTTATATTCTACTTTATGTTACTTATTCAAAGGGCCATTCTCCTAGCTTTTGCATAATATATTTTCTATGGCTACATAATGTTCCAGTTAGGTTATTCATTGAGCACCTGTGATTGTGCTCAATAACATTCTATTTTTGAATATATTTATGATTGGAATTTTAATTAAACATCTAAATTGTAAACATTTACTATTTATTGGAATAAATGGAAACTTTGCTTTTCACTTTTCTTCTGTAAATAATGCTGTTAAGACAGATTTCCAGGAGTGGAATTATTGAAACCGAAGAAGCAACTTTAGACACTTTGCATCACGGTGCTAAACTGCTTTTTAAGGGGACTGGGCACACTGAATGGTCAGCATGTTCTGTCATGCCACAGACTCTGGAGCCAGTCAGTCCTGGGTTTAAACACCAGCATCCATGCTCACCAGCTCTGTGACCCGGAACAAGTCATTTGCCTTGCTAAATATTTTTCTAATGTGTAAGTAAAACAGAAACATAGGGCATTTATGATACTGTGTTCATATTTACCTCAAGAATTATTAGGATTAAAAATAAACAGGTTAAATATTTTTGGCAATAGTCAATTTGACAAATATTAATGGTCCAATTAGCTCAGAAAAAGACCAGGATGATGTGGGGGAGAGGGGTACATGTCAGGAGCTGTGGGCAATGGCAACATTGTTATTACACTGGGTATGTTCATTTGGGTTACGGGAATACAAGCTATGCTGAGAACTGGAAATACAATGGAGAACAAAGAGGGATGGAGAACAAAGAGGGATGGAGACCAGCATTAAACTAATCAAAAAAATGTAATCATACACCACAACAAACATGTTTTTAAAATAGGAGGGTACAACAAAGGGGATTTAGCAGGTCTCAAGAAAAGACACCCAAGGACAGACCCATGAGTGACTTTAGAATCTTTAGCCCCATGAAGGGGCATACTTATCAGCAACCACTTCTGTATTTGGCTCCTCTCCCACTGACATCCCAGTGGGAGGTATGTGGTGGTCAGAGGGGTGTGGCCCTGCCCCAGGGAGTGGCTGCAGGGCAGCAT